CTTCACAATTAAAACTATGTTGAGACTGGGATGGGCTCAAACCTAGGGCCATAGATGGTTATTGATACACCCAAGGAGATCCAAACAAACTGCAAGCTGAAGATCCAATGAAGGTGATAAAAGTGGAACTTCCAGGCAGGGCCCAAAAAAATAGCAACTGCACTTTAAGGGGCACAGTTCTGCGTAAGAAGACTACCATGAAGGGCAGATGGGTCAAATTTGAAGCATGATTTCGTTTTTAATATTTGGAGTTGCAAACATTTATGATCGCATCTGTTAGTAATAAGATATAATGAAATGAACCAACTTCAATGTCCCTCTGAAAGTCAAAGAGGTCGATTCGTTGCCAGTTGCTGCCATCCAAGGCCAGAACATTCCAGGACTAAAAGCAGGGAGTGGAGGGGAGTGGACAGAAATTCTGAGTTATTTAGCATGCACACGCAGAACACATACTATAACTGAAACCACACACGCACACCTTGTGAACACAGACTCACCCGTGAGACCTGGGCACAGCGACAGAGTGTCACCACATCCAGAAAGGAGAAGATTCTAGAAGACAGACAGGGACGGTTTAGAGACCATGATCCCCGCTGCCAGAAGCTTCCTCTTTACTGCCCTCAACGCAACCCTGTGTGTGCTTCCCCTAACAGCAGAGTGGTGTTGACTAAATCAGCTAATATTGCTTTTACTGTCATCAAAATACATTTCCCTGCTTGCAGAACAGATACGTTTTCTTAAAGTGAGGTCCTGACGGGGAAAGCATTTCTTTCTAAGGAATATAGTTGGATACCGATTAGAGGATCCTACAATGCAGCAAAAAACTGAATTGGGGTTGAAGCAGGGATGCAGTGAGTTGCAGCAGTCTGCCAGCCTCACAAATCACAGCACTGCACCAGGCCAAGCAGCACAGAGTCAGCAGCCGCAACGCAGACAGCTTGGCTGGCAAGGCCGAGGTTTGAGTTATGGCCTTCATTTTCTGTTTGTTAAGAGGCTTGTGAGCACCCCCCCTTTTTTTTTTCTCTCAAATCAATTTAAAAGTTTTATAACCACGAGCACCTGTTTGTAATTATGCTTTTAGCACTGGTTGAGCAGTGGGTGTGTAGAGCCAAGAGAAATTGGCATCCTAGTGTTTGGACTCTTTGTTTAAAAAGGGCAAGTGAACATAAACGATATGATTGTGAGACACACAATATTTGCGTGTGTTAGGGTAACACACAGAGGATGGAGGTGCTGCCTTTGAGTATGATTTTGTGCCGTAGTAAAGTCACGAATGTGACTGTGGAAATTTCAACGTGCAAATTTTGCTTTCCTCAAAAAACAAACAAACAAACAAAAAAAACTGCAAGTAAGTTAAAGTGCATCAAAATGTCACTCACCTTAGCAACAGCTCTTTAGGCAACTTCTTATTGATGACTGCCTCGTCACTATTTGTGAACATCTAAAAGGGTGGAGAAGATAATATCAGTCCTGGAGGCTATCACAAAGTGGCTGGGGCCCCTTTCATCCCCTCTCCTCACTCAAGGACGGCCCCAACACATAAGCAAGGATAAAAGATCGTAATCTCATCAGCTGAGACGGATTCAATGTCAATTCCCAGAAAACACGAAGGGTGACAGAAGATAAACCAACACAGGCCACAGCGAGGTGGGACTTTGTACTGTCAACTACAAGGCTGCGCTGGCCTATGCTTTCATGTTATCTTTGCTGCATACATATCCGTCTTAGTATACGTGCTATTGAGTACGACCCAGTGTTCAAAACAGTAAGTACTGAAACTTTAAACTGGAATTGGTTACAGTACCATATATCTTTTGTGACTCTAAGACAAATAATTTGCGCTTCAGCAAAAAGCTAATGGGTTTCCACACAAATAACTGCATGCTGTGTGAGCACAAATTTGAGTCTAATTCAGAGAAAAAAAAGTCACAGTAAACAAAGAGACAATAAATTTGCATTTATTGAGTCCCAACTACACACACCCTTCTTACTGAGGAATTTAGGGTTCCCATAATTTGTGGGAAATGATACTGTGCTAAATCACTGAGTGCAAGATGTTGAGACAATGGTCCTTGGAAACACGTACTCAATCACAACAGGATGAATAAAGTAACATCTGGCTCAATCCATTTTTCTCCAAAGATTCAGAAAACAAAGCGTTTATACCAGGGGCGGATCTGGCTTGTAAATAAAAATGTGGCAGAAGGCACATGTTAATTACATGAGGTAAAAGATTTATGACAAGATCAACAAGGTGTTTGTCAATTCTTATTTGCACTACTTGATAGAAACAAATACCACCAATTCCAAAAAGAAAGATTTATTTACCCCGTTTTAACAAAGAGAATGATTTAAAGGTCCCAGCAGAGTTCTATTTTGATTATTGGTGTTTATCCTGAAGCCACACAATAGCTTCAGATTTTGAGGGACGTGCACATAAACCCATTCATCAACTCACAAAAACAGACTGTCACGTCTGCCAGTTGAAATTGAGGCCTGGATCTTTACGAAACACACAAACGCGCACACACAAATAAGGCATCTTGGGGTCAAAGCTGTTCTATGTCTTTCTGATAAAAACACAAACTCTTTCTCAAGCTGCGCACACACACACACACACACACACAGCTGTATGCGGGGGCTGCCTGCCAGCGCAGACGTGTAAAATTTTGAGGGAGTAAGAAGGGACATACATTTGCTGTTTGGATTTGGGGCAAATTGACTCTGACAGCACGCCTTCCAGAGCGTTTCTTTCTGGCCAAATAATCCAGGGCCGTTTCAAAAGAAGCAGATGTCCGTGGTCAACAGCCATACACAGTACCCTTTTGTAATCTACCATAAAATGATGCAGTATGAATGTGACCATTATGTTTCGGCCACTGCTCAGTTATAAACAGTAATGCAGGGGGTTAAAACAAACAAACAAACAAACAAACAAAAAAAAAACCAAGCTGGGTGTTCTGTAGTTTGTAGTAAACCACTGCAGAGGCAAAGGGTAATTTTATTTTTAGGAAATGTGTATATGTTCCTTCCTGGCAATAAATAATTAAATCCTGGTCGTTTGCTCGATAGGAGGGGCTTATATTTGAGTTTTAGGTTATTATTGCATACATGCACAGATTGAATTAGGCACAACTAAATATGGTGAAGTTGAGGAACCTGTTTAAGGTCAGAAATTTAAACCAGTTTAAACCTCCAAAATAGTTGTTTACATACTCTTTCTAATTAGTGAATACAATGAGTGGCCATTTAAGTATCTATTTTTCCAGTCTGTTGGGTGGTCTTTTGTTAACAGAATAAAAGTGCAACAGCTCAGTGCTTGCAGCAGAGCTGTGTATTTAACACAACTTCCTTCCCTGCCTTTCAAAATAAAACACTCACTGGCAGACTGCATTTTTGATGACTTACCGGCCAGCATATTTGGTTTCAAGCTTCTTATAACTAACCACCAAAACCTAAAAGCTACTGAGCATACCATTTGTTAAATTTGCTTGGAATTATAATCCTAGGTTAGTGAACAACAAAGGCTTTGTTTAGCTCATATCATAAATTAAGCCCAACTGATAGATTACTTGGCCAATAACATCAACTGACAGTGGCAGAAGCTGTTGATCCCTGCCACGGTGTGACCACACTCCTATCGCCAATTTAGAATGACCAATTAACCCAACTTCCATTACTCTGACCTGCAGTATCTGTGAGCCACGGGGGCAAACGAGCAAATTCCACACAGAACCCAGGGCCTTCTCACTTTGAGATGACAGTGCTAAATGTTGCACCACCACAAACCACTTAAAAAAGTCAAAAACAAAAAACAACAGCTGTAATTTACAAATCTTCACATAGTTTGTCCAGCTGAGCAGCTTCATTGTTTAAAACAGTCTCAATCCTTTTTGCAAAATCCCAGCCCTTCCCCATTCCCAAGGGGTCAAAGACTGCAGATATGTCAACAGCTAGAGTCTCACAGACATACATTAACAGCCCTTTGGCACTGGCATGAGGTTATAGGAACAAATATGACACATCATGCTTGCCACATATAAATGGTTGCTGATCTGAAAATATTTTACTTGTTATATATTCTATTTATAAGTATTTTGTGAATATTTAAAACTATACTTATTTTTCTTTAACATATGCATTTATATTTCAGATTAGTCTTTACCTTATCAAGATACCAGGTTTATTTTAGATACATATTCCTATTTCTGTTACATTGACTTTAGTTTTTTAACTGTTGTAACTGAAGAATTTCCCCAAATCCTGGCTAAATAATTACGTCGCATCTTATCTTAGCTTGTCTTAGTGGACTCCTTCACATAGTGGGTAAGAACAAACAGGACACAAACTGCAGTCTTCTGGATGACAAACATGTAACTTTGGACTCAGTTTGTCACTCAGCATCTAATATTGTCAGGATTGGCATTGGTTCCTTGAAACACCCAAGTACAACTTGTATGTTCAATGGGATATGATGGAACAGTAGCAGCTGATGCCCCCAAATGATCATATCACAGCTAATCGTTTGCTGGTGCAAAGTCCAGCGGCATCTTCACTTTAAGTTATTATCTAGTGTTTTGACTAGACTGCTTAAAAGTTAATAAGAAATGAAAACATCCATTTTCATACTGCTGGCTGATATGTCGATACCCAGATTTTTTTCTTTACTTCCTAAAAATCAGATTAGTAGAATAGGAAGCAGAGCCTTCAACTATCCAGCTCCTGCATGGCTTCCCATGATACACTGACCATTTCCTCTCCACTCATTTCTTTTCACCCTCCATGTGTACATACACCACAACTGCATGTTGGTAATTATTAAATTCAGCTTATCTCCCATAGTTCGCCTTTTCTGCCATCTCTCTCTGCTCCCACAACTGGTCACAGTGGATGGCTGTCCCTCCACGAGCATGGTTCTGCCAGAGGTTTCTTCCCGTTAAAATTCAGTGTTTCCTTCCCACTGTTGCCAAGTGCTCCCTCATTGGTGGTCATATTATCGTTGGGGTTTCTTTAAAAAAATTGACGATCTTTACCTTACAATATAAAAGTGCCCTGAGGCAACTGTTGCTGTGAATTGGTGCTATAATAGATCAAATTTAATCAAAATTAATTTATTGGCCTTTTGTCTTGAAGAAATTCAAGTTTGTTTGTTTTTTTAAAAAACAAACAAACAAACAAACAAGTACATAAATTTGCGAACTACACAAAACAACAACAACACACAAAACCTTAACTACAGAATGGTCGAAAAATAGAAACACTTTTATCTTGAAGGCAAAACGTCGCCATTTCCGCTTCTCCCCTCTCCTAAATCCAGATACCTTTAAACAGCAGCTCCACCGCAGCTGTCGGGCCAGAAGGTAACGGCCTGAGTCCTCTGAGTCGTCAGCTGTTCACCGTTAAAAATAAATAAAACCACACACACAAATCCCACGCTAGCTGGGGATTAAACAACATCAAATGCTCGGGCTATACAGGCCAATGTCAGTGGCCGGATACATTTGTTTGTATACAAGTTCGCACCAAAATATTGAGCTACGCTTGCGCGGCTGCGACACAAAGTTTATGGTAATAGCCTTGCATTGGGGGAAAAAAAACCCAACAACGACACTGTAGGTAGACAGCGTACATATGGGCCTTTTGAGACGAATATAGGTTATGATGTGTGTTACACTGTAATAGCTCGGCACTATTTTCAGATATTTTGTGCTAACACCGGGTGCAGGTAGCAGACTGAGGCCACCACCGCCGCAGCGGCTATAGATATAGCATACATAACAAGGTCTCAAAAGAGAGAAGGGGGGAACATAACAATCCTGCATATAAGGATAATTTTAAGCAGCTTCTTTTCAAAGTGAAACCACTAAATCCTCCACTTCTGCTCATTATGTTGACGTGTGTCGAAGCTTTCCTCAGCGTGCTCTGTGTAGCCTCATTGTCTTTGTTTTGACGGCGCAAAGGGAAACGAGGACAACGTTTAAAGAGCACTCAAAATGCCTTGAAAGTGGCTGCGAGCAGCACGTCGGCTTTAGTGGAAAATACTGACGTGCGTCTTCTCCACGCCAGGCCTCGTTGCTTGAACAACACAACAGTGTTTGACCTAATCCCAAATACTGACTGCGGAAGCTGCATCAATAGCCTCCCCATAAGCGCAGTTTTATAATAATTATAGCAACAGTCAACACGCAGGCCCGGATCGTAGCGGTTATATCGGCTATTTTAAATGTGTCTCAGTGACTGTCAGTTAATGGAAATAATTAACTCACCTCAAACCGGCTCCGCGAAACACCATTTACCTCCTTCCCCATGTCGGACGCTGGTAACCGACTCAATGGATTCGGTGTAGGCGCAGTAAAATGCAGATACGGGCCCTCTCCACGATTATCATGCTACCGTCCTCTCGGTAGCTCCGGTGGTTTGATGTATTTTGACCTGTTCCACGAACCACAAAACCTCTTGTTACCGATAAAAACAAAATATATGGGTTACGAGCAGCAGCCAGCCAGCCATAAGCCACTTCTCTTATCAGCTCGATTCGCCCTCACCCTCCTCCCCCTATAAGCACAGCTTTCTATCAATCCACACAATAGCCCGACAGCAGTGGGGCAGACTAAAATTCAGCCGGTACAACCCCTACATCCATAATAAATAAATAACATTAATATGAAAAATAATAAATATAATGACCTAGCTCAGTGCGCACTATTTCTTGCTCGCAGGCTGCTCCTTTAACCAAAGCTCACAGAGGAGCAAATATAAATATCAAAGTGGGGTGTCAACCATTTGCCCGCACACGTAGCATGAATACCTATCGAGGGTTTGGGGCCACATGTGATAATTAAAAAGTTAGATCAGACTTAAAGTTCATACGGACTTTGTGAGAAAACATAGGCTAAAAAATTATTTCTCTTATAGTATGAAACAAAAACATCTAAAGTGAAGTGCATGTCTGATATGAGTACTGCCACTTGAAGACCTTTCCACTGTATGAAAAACAGAATAGAACCTGTGAGTTCCGCATTTTATTAACGTAACGGTTAACACTCGTTTTTAGATTATTCTATCTCATCTGCTGCTATTAAACATTCCAACTTTGTTATTGCAATAGGGAAACGCCACTTCCTCGTTTCTCCTCGGGCACACCCCTCTTCAACAGCGGGCCCAATCAGCATCCAAGGACGACAGCTCGTAATACTGCGTCATCGTAGAGCGTAAAACTAACACGCCAGACAACACTGAGCATTCAATATATCTATAGCAAAGCTAGTGATAGCTAATATGTTCTCTTAATTTCTAATACGCAAATAGTAGTGTTTGACTGGGGTCTGGTGCTCTGTAACTTTAAAAAAACAGCAATTTTTAATTGAACAATTATCTCCTGATGCCCCTAAGGATAAAGAACCCCCTTTTAAAGCATGTGTAAATAATATACTTTTTTTTTTTTGGCGGGGGGGGGGGGGTTAATCCCAAGGTTTGAATTTGGAAAAGGACCTACCTTTGCATCTTTTGTTCCTTACTCACTGGCCACTTTATTAGATACATCTGTTCAACCGCTCTTTAATGCAGCTATTTAATCAACCAATTGCATGGCAACAACTCAATGCATTTAAGCTGCTAGAATTGTCAAGTAGACTTGTTGAAGTTCAGATTCATCATCAGAATGGAGAAGAAAAAGTTATTTAAGTGATTTTGTATGTAACTTGATTGTTGGTGCCAGACAGTCTGGTGTGAGTATTTTAGAAACTGCTGATCTACAGGGATTTTCCCACACAACTCTTTCTAGGGTTTACAGGGAATGGTCCAAAATAAAGAGGAAATATCCAGTGAGCAGCAGTTCTCTGGGTGAAAATGGCTTGTTGATGTCAGAGGTAAGAGGAGAGTGGCCAGACTGCTTCAAGCTGTGTGAAAGGCAACAGCCACTCAAATAACCACTCATCACAACCAATCTATGAAGAGCAATCATGAATGCACAATACATCAAACCTTGGAAAAATATTACCTGGTCTGATAAGTCTTGCAACATTTGGATCTTTGGATGTTCTGATGGCTGCTTCCAGCAGGATAACATGCCATGTTGCAGAGCTCAAATAACTGGTTTCCTTAAATGACAGTGAGTTCACTGTACTCTAACAGCTTCTAGAATCAACAGATTTCAATCCAATAGAGCCTCTTTGGGATGTGATGTATAATGATGTATATCATGGGTGTGCAGATGACAAATTTGTAGCAACTGTGTGATGCTATGATGTCAATATGGATCAAAAACGTTTTCAGGATCTTATTGCATCTGTGCCATGAATAATTAAGGCAGTTCTGAAGGCAAGTGTCTCAGTACTGGCAAAGTGTACCTAATAAAATCACTTATGAGTGTATTTGCAAATGTGTTAAGCTACAAAATACACACTCAGAAAGAGGTGCACTGTAGAAGACAATTTTATCCCTAAAGGAATAATCCAAACAAATGTGCCCTCTAGTACTGTTCATTGGACCTCAACGTTTTAATACTGTTAATATGTGATTTGTGGGAGCTACCTGGTTTCCAATTTCAATTACAGGTAAGGCATTAAATACCCGACTAGGTTTATTCTGTCTAGGTCTTGTATATCAGTGACATAGAGATGCAGATGATAGTACTATTTTCGAACAGAAATAAGGTTGGGGGTTTAACCTCTTCCAGGCATTTTCTTGATTTTCTCCGGTCCAAAGAGAGATGCTTGTTTTGTTAATGGAGTAGTTCTCAAACGGTGTGTTGTTACCAGGGAAAAATGTTGAAGGTTTTCTGAAATGGGGCATTAAAAAAACAGTTTGACAACAGAGATGTCAGATACATTTAGCTCTGAATATTAAGGAAGACTAGAAAAGAAATAGTGAGTTCACATAAATGAATTCCAAGTATATGAATGAAAAGTATAAACTGTGCTTATATACCCAATTTTACTAGTCTTTTAAAGGGTTAGTTTTTGTATTATCACATTATATTTCAAAATTATCACCCAAAACTTCCTCTGTGAAGTACAAATCACAAGTGTATAAATATACCTGCTGTCAAAAAAAAAAGAAAAAGATGTGCAACTTTCATGAAAAGTTCAGGATGAAAACATTGGGGTTAACTTTAAAGTTTAGCAAGATTTGCATGTAAGATAATCGGTAGATTATATGTAGTAGTAGTTAACAGACTTTAGTTGGATCTAAATGAAGCAGCTAGGGTGCCTTCACACTGGCTGCACCACAAGCTAAAAAAACAAACAAACCCTAATCACTGTTGAATACTTCTCACATTCATTATTTTATTTTATTTTAAGATAAAGAACTAAATATTCATTATTCAATCATTTTGAGGACATATGCCAAAAGTATGATTTTCCCAAAAAAGCTCTCACAGTCGTACTTTTGCATTAATTTTAGTTTTAACACTCCTCCAGTAGCAGGACTATGAACAAATGCAACAAATAGAGTGAAGAAAGGGAGGTAATTGGGGGACAAAGAGACATCAGAGGGAACAACAACAAGAACTGTGTCTTTGTGTGTGTGTCTGTAGCTTGAAAAAGTTTGTATTTTTACCAGAAAGACAAAAAAGTTTTAACCCAGAAATTCCTTATTTGTGTGTTTTGTAAAGATCCAGGCCTCAATTTCAACCAGCAGGCATATCAGTGTGTTTTTGTAAGTTAAGTGTGTGTGTGTGGAAATGCACTTAAATATAGCATTGTCCTTAAAAAATCTGAAATATCTCTGCTTAATTATCCATTTCATATCACATACTTTAAGTGAAACTGTGATTTGTGATAACTACTTTATTTTTTTCAGTAAGATAAAGTACAACTCTCTATTTAAAACTATTCTGTGTACACGTAAACCTGAAAATCCTAAACCACAGATACCCACAGGCAAACTGACATATGTCAGCCACAGGGCAAGAACATATGCTGTTTTTCTTTCATGGCAGCTTTAGTTCATTCACTGCCTTCCAAGTGACCATTGTCTGATTGTTGTATTGTTTAAGACATGTAGATTTCTATTTATCTTACCAATACGCAGAATGCTGATCCATCTGCTGATATGTAAAGTACTAGTACGGAGACAAGCCCAACATAAAGTCATGCTTTGGTTGATTTCTCCTAAACACTTTGCAAGATCTTCTCTTCGCTTATTTTTCCTACTAGAGCATTACTTGAACACAGATTTCTCTGGGGTAACATGATAAAAGACTACTACATTTTGAAAGACGCCCACCTAAGACTGGACCTCATGCTTATCTTGTGAAGCAGATCTTATTAAAAAGACCTTACCATGTAAGTTAATGAACCTTAGTAGTAGGTTAAATATGTTGAAGCTTTCAGGACCCAGAGGCAGTTGCCTGCTGCCTGTTGATAATAAGACTTTGCTCTATTAGCTTTGCCTCAGTGTCTTCCTTTTCTGTTCCAACAAGCTCAACATTTAACAACAATCATGAGTCTGACATCTAACATGTTGGTTTAAATGTGTTATCTGAAACTTGGAAAGTTTGTAAAAACGTACTTTTGCTAATTAATACACATCTCTTCATTTTACGGCTCTGTCGTGTCGCCATGAGGACGGTGGGTGGGATCTTTGCGGTGATAGGAAGTTGCTCGGATACAGTCAAGATTGGCAGTGCTCCGTCTTCCGGTTCAATCGGCTGTGCGCAGAAGTTGCTAGTTACAGGAGCCATGATGGCGTTTGTAGTCTCCTTGAGCTAGGGCTGTGGATGATATTAAATCCACTAGCATCGCCCTAAATATAGGCCTGGTTGATTTCCAGAGCCATTGATAATAAACTGGAACATCTACTGCACACGAAAATATTATAATTTCTTATCAATATTGAATTTATAGGGGATAAAACTTACATTAAAGGGAACATGTAATCAGTACCAACCGGGTCAAGTTTTCATTTTGTTGGAGAAACGAGCGTCTTTTAATGAAGGCATTTGCTTGTTTCTGAATGCTAAGACCTTATTCTGTGGAATTAAAAACACCTTTACTTAACTTGGCACCGGACAAGGACAGCTTTCACAAAGGGACTTTTTTTTTTCTTTTTTAGGAGTCAGCTCGCTAGCTGCTGAGCTTTAGCTAGCTGTGCTAGCTAAACTGAGAAGGAGACGACACCACAATGATCAGATGTTTGGTTGGAGTCTTTTTCATTCGCTGACAAACTGAAAGTACAAACTTCGCAGCACTGGAAAACCAACTTGGCATTTATCTGCTTTGACGAAATATGCTGGCGATCTCAATGGAATGAATTGGCATTGAGGAGAAGTGGACGTAAGCGGCCTGGTGTGTTTATTTTTGTATTTTCCTGTCCTGATTTCGCTTAGTAAGACTTGTTTTGACATTTGGAGTTGTTACTGGTCTCCTGTGAATGAATTGCCTGGATCACCGAGGCCAAGTCGCAGAAGAGGCACCGACGCCGACGTGAGGGATGCCTGGGTCGGACCGACACCATGGGACCAAGAGGAAGCCGGAATCTAGCATCGGTGGTGTGCCACACCAGACCCAGGGCCCGACTCATACCTCTGCGGGAGACATGATGAGCAAGGACGGCAAGGT